GAAAATCTACTTAAACATGTATATCCGCTAAATATAATGTTTATAATATTAAGAAATATTTGAAATTATATTCTATCTAGTTTGAATTTCAGAAATTTTCTTTAGTTTCTCTTTAGAAGTCAAAGTTTTTATAAAATTCATATTCCAAAAAGCTCAAAATCAACATAAGATACAAAGCCTCCTACAAAATAGAAAAATAATGTTCACCAGCAGTATTTAGTAGTTGTCTCCCTTGCATAAATTAAATCAAACCAATAAGCCAACGTGATATTGTCGCCACAAAAAATGACTGTTGAATCAAGACACACCCTACACTAAAATATTTTCAATAAAAAACATACAAAAATAAATTCACTGTATTTGATTAAGTCTGTAATAAAATCTAAAATAAATAAACAACCGACCAAATTCTGAGACATAATAATAATAACAAGAGAGCAATTTAACCAAAGTAGGTGATTCCCTCACTCGCATACACAACCTATTTCCCTGAATCTGACTATTTTGCAGTCCCTTCTTGGTCAAGACAAGAACTTTTCAGACTCTGATAAATCATTTAAGTAGATGTTTTCAGTTTCAGTATAAATTGTGTATAGTACATAATTTAAATGTTTTTTTTTTCAATTTCATCAATTGAAAGCAAAATATGAACAAAAACTTCTTTCAAAACTTTTTTTTTTATTCTAAATAAATAAAAACTTTTTAAAAAAATATTGCAATTATTACAAATACAATTGATTTTATTTTTTAAAATATAACCACAATAACTAAACCCTGAGAAAATCATGAGCAATTAACAGAAATCAATATTTTAAAATGACTAACAGATATGAAATTGTTTCAAGATGAAATTTTTTTCTAATACTAACTTTAATAAATACATACATTTTACTCTTATATAAAAACAAAAAGGTACTAGTACAAATTTTACCAACTTTTCAAATTAAATTTATTAAAACTAGTGATAGCAAAATTATCAAATTTCAAATCTAGATTGTTTTGTCCATTTAAAAAAACTAGACTTATTAGAAAATATATTCAGTTTAAATACAAAACGAATCAAAAATTACTACAAAAGGGTTAGCTTATACTCTTTTCCTGAAAAATTAGCCCTCACAACACAAATATCCATTTCAATTTCATTCAAATTGTATGTGCATGTATAGTTTGGGGGTGCACATGTATATTTTAATTCAATAACAGACCTAAAAATATTTCTACAAAAGTTTCAAAAAGAGATTTAAAAAAATATTCTATTTATTACTGAATAATTTCCAAAAAGTTCAATAAAATGTTTTATCTGATATGTTGGGGTTTAAAAAAATGAATATGTTCTTTCTTTCTTGCCACCAACTTTATTTTATTGCACAAGCCAGGGTAGGAATTATCCAGACTGAGTAGGAAAGAAGTGTATTATTCCAAGTTATATTTCCAACTCAGTCAAATTGTGTGTGTGTATTAAATAGCACAAGTACATATAAGTTGGTCACACACAACACAAGGCATTTACATATGCATTAGTTATGTGCATGCAAAATCATAGTGTGACAGTCAGAGAATCAGCTCTTTTATAATAATGATTATTAGGGGGGGATGCTCTAAACAGAAGTTTACTCAAGCCAACTCTAAATAGCAATTTTCTAAACTAGAAATACAAAGACAACAATGTTCTAGAAACTTCATCTGGGGCACAATAGAATCCAGCAATATAAACCAACAGCAAAATGCCATTTATATTTGAGTTCATTTAATATTTAACTCCAATAACAAAATAATAAATAACCCCATATATAGCAAGAGTCTTGCAATGTTTGGTCTGTGGGAAAGAGATTATAAAGTAGTGGTGTAACCTAGGAAAGTTTACTGAATAGAATAATCACATGAAGTTTGGTAATGAACGATAATACCAAGGACACGAACAACACATATAAGATTTGCCAGCGGCATGTAGAAGTAGTCAACTGCTAGAAGTGAGTCAAGTGAATTCCACAATGAATCTTCAACTGCAAACCAACAAACAGTATTTACTACTGTATTTATGTGAATTGAGAAAAACCCATTATCATCTGTAGGTATGCTACAAAAGTTACCCATCTCCCTCTTTCTCTCTGTTACTGTTGTAACCTAGGGAAGGTTACTGAATAGAATAATCAAATGAAGGTTGATAATGAACAATAATACTTAGGTCACGAACACCACATATAAGATTCACCATCAGCATGTAGAAGAAGTAGTCATCTGCTAGAAGTGAGTCAAGTGAAGTCCACAATGAATCTCTAATTCTAGGCCATGTACAGTATTCACTACAGTATTTATGGGAATGGAGGCATACCCATTATCGTCTGTAGGTATGCTACAAGTAGAAAATAATTCATCACCCACAAAGCAAGTGTAGAAGCTTTTAAATTCAATCCATTCTTGATAGAGTTCAAAAGCAACTATGTGGCCTTGTGGGTGATGAATTATTTTCTACTCTACAACTCCTTTCCTACAGATGAAAGAACACAAGCTTTTCACTACTCTTTTACCATGACAAATATTCAGGCAAGTTACATTCCCAAGTTCCACTGGTTCTGAACTACACAGCAAAGACATGCCCATTCCCTTCATATCCCATTCTGACATCTTCTTCACAAGAACCACACTACTTTGTGAAACTGACTCCCAAGATGATGCTTTCTTCAATCACTACAATCTTAACCTCTTCAAGTTTAGGGTTAATCATTATTTCCAACATATTATAAACTACACTTCTTACCTCCTCCTCTTATGCTCATACAACTACATTTGGTAATCCTCTATCTTGAGTGATTCTTCAGCTTTGTATTGGGTGAAAAATGTTTACATCCTAATAACATGAGTGTGTGAAAACTTACCCGAGATAAAATCCTGACGATTGATCAATTAAAAACTTAGTTAGGTATTAAAGGTTTCCTAACTAATATTTTAGACAATAAGAATTAAAATAAAGTACAAAGTAAGTAAAATATTGACAAAGAGTAAAGCATCCAGAGCACTTAGCTTGTGGGTAGACTGATAAAATTGGACAATGGATTTTTTTTTTTTTTTTTTTTAAAAAAAAAAAAATCAAGATTTTGGTATCAAATCTTAAAGAAACAAAAAACAGAGTTGAGGGTAGATTCCTTCAGAGAAGGAAAGGATTCTGCCCAAATATCAATATCTGATTCCTCAGTCTATTGTGAGTACGTTACCCTAAGAAGAGCTGAAAAGGTTACATCATGTTGGGGAACCTGGCTGTCAAGAGTTGATTAAAGTGTTAGGAAAACTAATATCAATGATGAATTTAAAATTTTAGCCTGTCATAAGGCTGCATTATGAAAGAGATCTTTGCTAGCTATAAGAAATAAAGGATATAGGGTTTAAAGAAGTCATGAAAAGAGTTTTCTCTCATGGAAGTAATTCTGATAACATCCCCTACATCTCTCTTGATAATTTCCCACACATCTCTCATCATGGAAGTAATGTTGATAATGACCAGATTGATATTTTCCTTCCACTCCTGGGATTACAAAAGGGATAAAATCCACTGAGAACATAACAAAGGAAAATTTAAAAATTGTACCCAAATTAAAATAATACCAATACTTTGTTCTTTATTTGTTTTTTATACCAGCCATGACATTTCTCATTACTTTAAATTTTATATTTAATGGATACACATGTTTGAGTAAAGATCCTTGTTTTTTGGGGTTTTTTTTTAGACATTATAAATCTACTGCCCTGAGCATTCAAGAGTCATAATAAAGAAAATATACTTTCCAACAGGTTTCAAACATGCATCCACTTTGTCGTGGAAACTTGGTGCTCTTTTTAGACTGCTTAGTCATGGAAGAGCAAAGGTCAAAGACCATATTTAAGAATTGCATATCTCTTGTTCAGAAATTACGTTGTTTAAGTTTCATGTACTAATATAAAGTTATCTGATATAGACTTTGAAAGGTCCCAATGGGGGGAATGTGCTTTTCTTAAAAAAAAAATGTAATTGAACATGGCATGTCTGTGAATTCTTTTGTAGTTGAGTAGTCTAAAGCACATCTAGCTCAAAAGCAGTCTCTCCATTTCAAGCTGCCAAAAAAGTCATATTTTCTCTATTATAATTCTTGAATGCCCACACCAGTAGGCATTGGAATGACACTGTTTAAAATATGGGCTTTGAGAGATCTGAACAAGAAATGTGCATTTCTCAAATAGAGTAACTGAACTTTGCGTCTTCTGTGACCGAGTGGTTTAAAAGCTTACTGGTCCAAACAGTGTTTTCTTCTACAAAGAGGATGTAAGTTCAAACCCTGCCAGAAGGTGCATGTTCTTTATTAAGGCTCTTGAATAAACAGACCTATAGGCATAGATTTACACTGTCTAAAAAACAGTGATGTCTACTCAAACACATGTAAAGTTTAAGGTAATAAGAAATAATGTTGGATTATAATCAAATCGTTTCCTTAGAAAATTCCTTTCTCAACAGAGTAAGTCATCAACATAAGGTGGGTAATGACTACTAAAGTGATTAAGAGAAAAGCTAAGACTATAATCAGTTAGATTATCAAGCTATGAGTGGTAACAAGCCATCTGACAACTACTAGTCCAGTTGGTTACATTTGCTATTTTGCCAATATTGAACAATAGTAATGTATCAAGTGATTGCAGTCAGTATATCTAGTGTTGCTACAGGTAAACAGGTCTTTATACCACCCCCATATTTAAAAAAAAAAAAAAAAAATGAAAATGTTCATTTTTTTTAAACAAAGTTCAAAAATATAAAATATTAGATCAATCGTTCTATGAATAAAAAATTATATAGTGACTTAATTAAATTTGTAATATAAAAAATTAAATTAGTAGAAATTAAAAGCATTAGATAAAAAATAACATTAAAAATTAATTTCCTTTAGAAAAGAACAAGTAACAGAGATATTTTCATTTGTTTAAAATGTTGAAAATATGCAAAATTATTATTTTTTTTTTTGGCAAAAATTACTTACCAATCAAATAATTTGGGAAAATTGTCAATTTCTTCTTTTGAATATTCATCCAAACGTTTGGGGACTGGATGCAGTTGACGAAGCTGATCAGTTACATTGTTAAGAATTTCCTCAGGAACATCCTACAAAAACAGAATAGAACAAAGATTTTTCAGTTTTACAACCTGTTTTATTTAGTAGAATGCCCACACTAGGTGCAGAAATGCAACCGATATAATAAGGTCTTCTTACCTTACAATGGTACAAGGCTCACAACCTCGCTATAAATAATCAAAAACTTATTCTACCAACAAATTGGTCTCCAAGATAAGCCTGCTAACCATCAAGCATTAAGAATAAAACCGTTTGTGTATATGTAAATTATTTGCACACAGATGCAAATAAGCAATCATTCAAGCCTTTGCTCAACATGTGCAAAGCAAATACAGAAGCAAATATGTTATGATTTATATTGTCTAACATAGAAAAATTGAAGACATCCACAGTGTAGACTTAGCTCAAAATATTAGGTAGATGCTGAAGTTTTCAGCATTTTATGATAAAAATCTCTTCATTCAAATAAATTCATAGCATAATTATTCAGTCATCAAATTATTTTCCAAGGCTTTTTATGATCTGATGCCAACTTTTACCACCAATTTAATTTTTGTAGGCCTTCCAACTATGTTTCTCTTGCCATCAAATAGTTTTATCATTTCAATTTTAATTACAATGTTCTCTGACATTGCAGTACTTTTTTTAATCATTTCACCCCAAGCAAGGTGATAATGACAATAGGAGACAAGAGGTTACTGAGAGTGAAAGAGAAGGAGAAGACTTTAGTGAAATAAAGTGAAAAGAAAAAAAAAAAAACTCTTCCCACCAAAAAGAATTCAAGAAGACTATAAAATAGTTATTAGTTCATAATATAAAATAATTAAAAATAATAATTAAATAAAAAGTGTGAATAAGTAAATGTTAATTAATCTGAGTTTGTCTTCTACGCTTACTTTTGAAAGAAGTGTATTTAAAGAAGGTTTGTTTAAAATTTTCATTTTGTGTGTAAAAATTGTTTTATTTAGAATTGACTCAAAAAAGGATCATCAGAAATAATTGTCATGGTGGACTATTGGGGATTAGTTTTTCAAATTCAAAAAAAATATATTACCCTTGTACTTTTTGTCCAATAAAAAGGATGGGTTTTGCCCTTGTAAAATTTAAAGTTGCGGCTAATTTGATCCACCCTAATGATATTTAAAGAATGGTCAAAGAATGAACGACAAAAAGTGGTTAGACTGCAGAAGAGATGAAAACTGCTAGCTACAGAAGATAGATGTCACACAGAAGAGACAAAACCTGCTGGCCACAGTAGGAGGGAGTGATACGTCACAGAGATGGAACGAGGTTGGCTGGCTATGAAAAAGCTTTAGATTTTCTAGTGTGAAAGTCACCAGTAAAGCAAAGGGCAGAAAGGTTTTGACATTCTTAAAAACTATATGATAAAAGACATTTCACAATAATGTAAAACTTGGGTCCCATGTGAAATTCTCACGGGAAAAGAAAAGATCGTTAAATGACCTCAGTGAACCATATTGGACCCAAGCAGAAAGAAAACAACAGTATTGAAAAAATATTGTTAAAACCTCCATAATAATCTCAAGAGAAATACATGTAGGTTTTTTTTATTTCTCTATTAGGTGGGTTTACTATTTTTTTTCTAAAAAGTAATTTCTTCTTAATTTCAACAGTTTTCATGCCACCTTCTCAAAGTTTATTTTTTTCTTTCATGATTTGAAAAAAAATTTGTATTGCAAATTATTTTAAAACCCAATTATTTCTATAATTTTGCTAGGTTATTTTGCTTTCTCCATAATAAGGCACATGAAAGGCAATTATTTTGCAAGCCTTTTTTGTAAAATTTGTATTGTTATAATACTGTACCTTTCAAATTTCACAGTCTAAAAAACTTGCTGCAGTGCCCTTAGTCATTGCCGTAATGCTCTTATTTTTAAGGGGTCCACCAGGACAATTTTTGCCATCGGCATGGCTGATGGCAGGCAGAAAAGGTTCTCTATGGTGAGAATGTTTTGGAGGCATTCAAATTTACAAGCCATTCCTTATCCCAGTTAACCACTCATTGGAGGTTCTTTTTGAGAGCAGTTGCGAGTTTTATTTTGTCAAATTGAAAAAGCTTCAAGTTTAATTTGTTCAGGAACTTAACAAAAAACTTGGTATGGAGGAAAAAAAAACATCAATCTGATGCAACTCAAGGTGGGAGAAACGACATCCAGTTGATAAAATTTGATTTGGGAAGATGTTCAACTGGCAAAATATAATGGGAAGTGATAGACATTCAAATGGCCACTGAAGTGGGGAGGAAGTGTACAGTGAGTCAATATTTCTTTTTAATGGTCTATCAACCATGCAATTTCCTACAAATTATAAAGGGTTGGCACTTTTTACAAAAGAGAATAACTGGAAAAATTTCAACTTACAGTTTCAGCATAGAGATGAAGTCTGCGCATGAGTGTGTGTCGTAAAAGGTTACCAGGTACATTGCTGTAAACACACTTGTACATAATCTATACAAAAAAAAAGAAAAGAAAAAATATGGTTAAAAATTTTAAAAATGTAAGAATTTCAAAGATACAGATGTAGCAATAAAAATACTCATATTGCTGTTCACCCTAAACAGACTTGTTTTTTGTTTTTTTGTTTTTTTTTTTTTGAAGTTATGAGACAAAACATCTAAACTTTTTCCTATCAGAATGAAAACAATATGAAAGCTTGTAGTTAGGGAGAGAAACCAATGTTGGACTCAAAACAAAAATACTGACAACATAAAAAAAAGAAGAAAAAATAAATACTGCAACATCATTGTAAAGTATCTTGTTATAGAACATCACATCAATTCACCAGTAAATTGGTTGCTAATGAATTTATCAACAGGACAATTTGTCACGAAATAGGAAAAAAATGAATAAAAGTAAGAACAAAATAAGGTTCAATTTTTCTAAAGTTTATTCCACTCCTTCAAAATTTCAAAATCTAAAAAATTTTAATAAATTGGATTGTTTGTCATCAAAGGGTTTCAAGAATATCAGGACAAAGTTAATTGTAAAGCTTTTAAGGGAAATCATATATCAGAATGTTAAAATCTAAATCTTTAACATAGTGCCCCCAGAATTTTAATCAGATGTCTGCATATATGTACCCTGTCTAATCAACCTTGAACAGGAATTCCATTTTATAAGAATTACACAGAAGTGATGAAATGTTCTGAAACAAGAGTCAACTAACCAAATTTTCTCCTCCTATTTTTCTGGCCATAAAAAGACATAGTTTGAATTCAAAGTGTACTTTGTTCTTACAAGTCTTGTTCATGAGCTCATATATAGGTTGTTTTTGTGATCCCTCAATCATTCTCATATACAGCTCTTTTAACCCTTTGAACCCAGACCCCCTGATGAGTACAGATCTCCCACCCTGGGCTCCTGCTGTTTATGGTTTCTCTTTATTTCTACTCTGACCAGGATTTCAGCCACCCAGCTACATGCACTTTCATGCAGTGGCCGCTATACTGATTAAAAGGTCTTGCTATACATTATATAGCCTATTATGTCTTATTGCAGAAATATCTTTATCAAAAAACAAAGCAACAAAGCTCAGGCAAAATTCATTTACTTTGGTAGGGTCCAACTCATGCAGTCTCCATGCTGACGTTATTGACTTTCCTTTGGGATAACTGTAAAAAATAAATAAATAAACATTTAAAATCAAAAACTCCTTCGTTTCACTTTTTCACATGTGTGTGTGTGTGTGTATATATATATATATATATATATATATATATATATATATAAAGTTAATGGCAAGATTTGAATTAGACCTGGAAGCAGAAGTATTAAAAAGTGCTCAATACACATAACATGAAATACCAAAGTATTTTTTTATTATTCTATTAAATTTTTTAATCCTTTCTAGCACATTCAAAATTTTGGTTAAAAATCTTGTTTTTCTTGCATCAGTGAATAGGCCAAAGATTTTTAGCATTTTCTGGGACATTAAAACACATTGTTTTGGAAATTCTTACAAGACTCAAATAATTGTTATATTTTAATGAAATTTTCAGGACTTATTCACAAATGAATTAAATTATTTGAAATTTTTTTTTTTTTTTAAATCTTGGTAAAAATATTTTTTTTACATGTTACCCAGACTTAATTTTATGAAATTTTGAGAAATTAAAATTTCAGACTTTATATTAGTTTAAATCATCAATTTGATTTTCTCAAACAGAAAAACCATTTACTGAAAATCTGCTCTTAATAGTAAAATAAAAAATGCAATAAAACTATGATAGGATCATGTTTAAGTACATGTAATCTACTTAGACTTTAACATTATTTCAAAGAGGTCAAATGCCACAGCAATGAAACATCTTCAGAGTTTACTCTAGTATAGACTGTTTCCTGATCAAACTAACAAAAAGCTTTTTTTCAATTCATAAGTACTGTAATATGTCAGTAGTTAACAGTGAAATAGTAAAGCTATTTGATGACACAAGAAACAGACGTAAAAAATTGAAATTGGTGGCAAAAATATTACAAAGATTTCAGATTTGGCAGCTTCTTTTATTTTTAGCACAGATGAACCAACCGTTTTATCGCTTGATATTTAGTCATTATTTTAGGATAATCAAAGTTATTTTAAAATTTCAAAGTTCAACATTTAAGTTTGATAATAAAAATTTAAATAAAAAATTTTCAAATGAAAGAGATGAAGATATTTTGATAATCAAAACTATCAAATCTGAAAACAATTATCTGCAGAAAGAGAGGCAGGTTAAATAAAACATATAGACAGTTCAATAGCAGTTTCAAAATGAAAACCTACAATATATTTTATATAAAGTTTACCTTTTCACAGTAACAGTTTTTTTCTTTTCTTTTTGGCCAAAAAAGTATTTAGGATTTTGATTGATAATTTAAAATGCACAATATCAAAAAAGCTTCCTATAAAGTTAGGCATGTGAAAATTTTAATATAAATCAAGATTGTTGGCCCCAATCATGTCAGAATGACTGCTAAGAATATCCCCCATCCCAAATCTATAGACAAATCTCATAGATGAATGTTGGAATTTCTTCTGAACCAATAAAGATGGACAATTCTCAGTCTCATCTCCCCATATTTTTGTGTCACTTTGTATTGAAGTCAGAACACTATAACCACTTGACTGTATCCCTTTTGCATGTAAATACCATTCTTACTTTGTGAACTTTTAATGTTATTACTGTTGCTTTGCCTAGTTTTGTCTTGCATATATATATATATATATTGTTTGCTTGATATTATTTTGTTCTGTTCTTTTTCTTCCATTTTTTTATTGTTTATTGAGAACTTTGTTAATTCAATTTGTTGAACATTTTGCCAATTACACTTAAACATGGCCAATTACTCCACAAAGATGGAAGACGTTTTGTGTCAATGCCTCACACAGAATCTAGATGTTATTACTGATTAATAGACATTTGCTATTTATGAAATAATCAGAAAAGGTTTAATTTACAAATTCTACAGCTCTACTTTCTACAGTACAATTTCTGATAAGTATTTTAGCTTCTCCGCTAAAAAGAAGTTTCAGTAGAAGAATTTGTTTTCGTTTCTCATCACTGCTACTAATACTTAAGCAGTTGAAAAAAAACGAAAATGATGAACAGAGAAACCAAGACTGATTTTTAGAGGACTTCCTTTTTTTAATAAGATAGGTAACAATAACAAAATTTTCATAGTAATTTTTGTTGTTGAATTTTTACTAGTTATGTATATAAAAAAAATGAACAGATGTTATATTCTTTCCTGGTAGGATATATGAAAACATTTTACAATGTGATTCCTTTGTCCCATAATAATTGTCACACTAAATACACTGTTTCATACACTAAATGTAACAGCTTTTATGGGACAGAGGTATTTGTACATGATAATCATAATTTATGGGACAGAGGTATTTGTACATGATAATCATAATTGTTTAGCCAAGTTGTGTGGAGTTAATACTAAAATTAACCAATTACAACCAGAATAAAAAGTAATAAAACAATTTTAACAAGAGTAAAGAAAATAAGAATACTGAACATTTTAAAGATGATGAGGTGTGAGCATAATGGTCATCAGCATGGGCAATCAAGTTATTAAATAGAGTTTAGATTTTGGCTGAAGTTGCTCGGTTTCATTTCACTCGAACAAACTTTGAAAAGGCATGAAAGCTCTTCTCCCTTTACTCTATCCCATGACCAGATATCACTGACATCATACCACAATGATTGGCTGAGAAAGAGAGATTAGTCAAGTCTGCTAATAGTAATCGCTGAGATTCTGTAATGGTCAAAACTCCAGGTTATGTAACATCAATGAACCATTTTATAATCAATCACAAATCCATGCAATTTTGTAAAAAGCTGCTTGAAAATAGGAATGTTCAACTTACCCTGTATGGTGGTGATACTTCCATTTCCTCCACATTTCATCTTTCATTGCTATGTGGTTAGTGTTGATCACTACAACATGGTCACCAATGTCACCTAAACAGAAAAAAAAGATCTCATACTCGCATTTTCAGACAGAAAATAAGCCTATAGTGCAAAGCTTATAAATGACTTCTTATAAATTATTTACACTATTTACATTCGGTCTATTGTCCTCATCATTGTTGTTATTGCAACATTTTGGCCACTGTTCCCTCTGGCTTTCATCAGGTTTATATCAATCCAGGTAACCTACTGCAAATTCTGTGACACAACAGCTGAAACATCAAAATAACAACAAAGATGAGGACAATAGCCTGAATGTAAATAGTGTAAATAATGAATATCCTCATTCCAGAAATGCAGATTGAAACTTGTTATAAAATATGAAATAAAGGCGAACAGAGTTCTCTCCCTTACCAACCAATACCATGCACACTTTTAGATAGTTCACTTCAAGAAGTGAACACAGTTAATTCAGGCCTGGCTTGAGGCTGAGATAGTTGCATATTTCCTAACTGTACTAAAAGTAGATTTTAGAGTCATAGTTAAATCCAGGATTTTGAGTTTAAATTTTTGAACTAAAAAGTTATTTTTCATTTTTTCAACACTGTCTCCCATTGCCTTGTATCAGACTAAGATTAGTGTGCGTATGCACATATACTCTATAAGTGTGCATCTGTACAGGTGGTAGCTTTAAATTCAGCTAAAAATTAATATCAGGTGAAAATCTCAGGTAATATTTGGATAAAAGTTAAAGAGCCTTTTTCAGGCATTAATTAAAAAAAAAAGAAAGCTGTTAAAAAAGTAAAATGATCAAATAATAACAAACAGAATCCAACAATCAAGTCAAACCCAATGAAAGACAAATAAAAAAAAGATGTGAACTTACTCAGAGGATGGTAAATAGGTTTGTGTCTGCCTTGAAGAACATATGATAACATAATGGCCGACTTGAATGGACACTGATGTTGCGCATCATAAATCCACCAAGTCCGGGCAAAAGTTGCCCATTGCTGAAAAAGAGAAATAGAGAATACATTTTGGAAATTATTCATCTTAATTACTTTTTCCTTGTAAGATGAAAGAAAATAAATTAGTCAAAATTTAATGATGCCAATGTTTCATCTAAGAAATTCACAAAACTGTGACAACAATGATAGCGTCTGTTACTCCTAGATGTAAATTTCACCTGGTAATCGGCCTTGATCGCCTAATCAGCAAAACATCTTACAGATTCCCAAGCATATAGAATACAAGTTCAAAGACTATCGGTGGCTAAATCTTTATTTTTAAAAACAACACTATTTAAAAAAAAAAAAAAAATACTGCATGAAACAGACTGTCACTACTCGGTGTTAACTTCAGTGTACACTTAAATACTGATATATCACTATCCCTGATATTGAGCACTTTTACCCCTTTTTATAGCATACTTTAAAAGGGTGTGTCTGCGTATATAATCTAGCAAAAGCATAAAAAGCAATGTATTAGCAAACTCTTCTCAAAAATACTAATGAGATCTCACATTGTTATGGTAACAAGAAGCATGTTCCCTTATTGTCATCAAGTAATGCTTCCTGTAACAAAAGAATGTCTCCAAATAAAAAGGATGTGACAGAATATTTCATCTTAAGAATAGGAGTGTGATGAATCAGTAATGTAATATTTTATTCTAAGATTGGTAGTGTGATTAATAAAAATCCCAAATCATATTGTTTAATAAAGTAGATTTTATATTGAATTCTCATGAACCAAGATTGTGCATCGATATGGACTAATATTTACTAACTCCACTAAGCACAAATGGAGATGTTTCTGCAAGCCGGTCGATTCTGTAACACAGTCTTCAAAACAGGTTCACCATTGAGGAATGAATATTAACTGACTCCAACACTGTAAATTGTAGAATGCACGGTGCACCATAGATCATAGCCACTTCTATGCTTCTCTCAATGGCTGTTGGCAGTAAAAAACTGTCTGCTTCTTTAAGCAAGTCATTAAATAAACATTAAACTCATGAATATTCATCAACTAACCATATTATAAGGTTTGCACTCATGCATGAGAACTTTTCACATTGCAAATTGACCATTTATACACAAAGCATTATGCTCGTTTAGCTTCAAGTAATTCATCACAGGAGAGGGACAGTAGTTAAGAAGACTGTGTTGCACCAATCTTTCAAGTGGAAGAGGATCAGTCTGCTTACATTCAAAAACTCTGTAGCATGCCAGATAAAGTTATCATCGCTCAGTTGCATCTACCTTCGGGCAGAATGTGACTCAGCCAGGGAAAAAAAAATACTGAGAGGTGCCCAATCCTGAGAAATATCTCACCACGGCTGTACCATCCCTAACTGCACTAGATAGAGGGATTCATTTTTATCCCAGGCCCAAATGTATGTGCTTGGGTTTCCCACATTAAACCTAACCTTGTATCACATCTTATCTCAGTGGGGAGACTGGATAAATACTACCCCAGTAGTAAGTATGCTTGGTGCAGTAACTAATGTAGTTACACATTTCTTCTCCACATAAGAAGTCAGCCATTAAGTCAAGGTTAATGATTCCCAACGTGGGGCGCATAGCCTACCAATAAAACATGGTAATATTTTGGTAGGGCATGTATAGGATGTGCACCTTTCGGCTTACTATACCAACAGAATAAGAGGGCAATTCGAAAATGAGTTATTAACAGTGAATTGCTTTCTAGTGAGTCTGAGTGATGTTAATGTGTGTTAATACATACAATGCATATACAGTATGCATACATAAAAATATTTTGTGTGTATGTACATACATGTGTAATTGGTATACAGGATATTTCCTGTCTCCCCATACTTGCGTGTCTCAATTAACAAAAGACAGGGCATTATTTATTCATGTCACTGGAAGAGCCCATGTTTTGTCAGCCAATCAGCATGTGTGAGCATTCCATGAGCATTATCTGACACCAGAATACCAAAGTAGGGCATGGCCCAAAATCAATTGGGAACCACTGGTCTCGGCTAAAGCCAAGATTATAAATGGTAACGGTGAGATTAGTCATCTTTTTATAAGGAAACATTCAACAGTCATTGACTGAAAAATTAGCATTACTATCAGTTGAAATTTTATAAAGTCTGTCCCTTAAAGGTTTTACAAGAAAATAGAGTTCTTAAGTTCACTATTATTGTACTTTCTAGTACCGAGGTTTAGTGGGGTTTCCTTCCTAACCTTTTGTTTAAAGCTGTGTGGAAAATCAATATCTTAATTATATCATTATTTTCTCATCTAATAACATGTGTTATCTCTTTTAGCTGTTGCTGCTGTTGAAAATCTTCAAGTGATGTGATTTACATTATTTGGTAAAGTTCTTTGTTTATGATTCTATAGTGCCAATCAACAAGATTCAATGAAAGATAGGCCTAAAACCTACAAAGGTTCATCAGCGGACAGTTTTGGAATTTCTGAAGGAGTTCTATGCTATACATGACATTCATATAAAAGTCTAAATTTGACAAGGCTATTTAAGAGCACAACTAGAATTCTTGGGTTAATGTGTTGGTTTTGAAGCATCTTGCAGCATTGAACAAAACTACCTCTAACTCAGCCTCTATGTTCAATTACCTTACCCCTATACTAAAATTGTTATAACTGATCCATACACCAATGATTTTCAAAGTAGGTTCTCTTTGCTTGGAAAATTGGAACAACATAATCTTCCTAACCAGCACTTTCTCTCATTTGACTATATTTTGCAAATATCAGTTTGGCCTAAAAGATTTGTTCTATATTTGATTAGATGACATTTCTAGAGATGATGGATTTGTCAGAACCAACAAAAATTAAAGAGTATAGAACTGTTTGCTCCAGCTATTTGTTTATGTATATCATTGTTGGAGGGCCTAATTACATCATGCAGATTAATGAATCAATTATAGTAAAACTGAACAATCATTGAGATGAATTTATGTCACAATAGCAACATGCCACACACATAATGACATTTTTGAGAACATATTGTAGAATTCTCACTGATATTTTATGCCTTGAACTATATCAAAATAAATGATTATTCATGCCTAAAATTGTCTTGATTACTGTTTGGAATTTTATTTGATTTTTTTATAATTGAAATTGCTTTAAAATACTTGAAATTGAATAATGCTGCCATATCTGGTTTCATTCTTCTTCATATCTAGAGATTCTTGACAAAATCCAAAGAATCTGCAATGTTAATGATCTTAACCTGGCATCTCAGCTTCAATCACTTTCCAACTGCCATAATGTAGCTTCCCTGTGCCTTTTCTATAAATATTTTCATGGTAATTGTTCTGACGAGCTTTTCTCTTGAGTACCTCAACTTTATGAATTTGAGCGCAGTACTAGATTGGAAGCTAGGTCTCATCATTTTACAGTTGAAATTGATAGATATAACCATAAGTTCCATGTTAAAAGTTTCTTCTCTTGTACTTCTCACTTGTGGAACTATTCCAGTTTCTTTCTTTCTTTCTGGTAATCTTTGATTTTCAAAAATTTAAATGCAATATTAATTGCTTCTATGAATCTTGTTCTTTTATCATCCTCTCTACTTAATATTTTTTCTCAAGCTCTTTCAGTCTCAGTAATCCTTGCATCTTTGTTGTAACCTAGGAAAATGTTACTGAATAATAATAACCAAAATGAAGGTTGGAAATGGAACAATAATATTTATAACAGAAACAACATACAAGACTTGTCAGCGGCATGTAGTAAGTAATTCACTGCTAGTGGTGACTAGTGAATCTGCCCAGAGTATATTCCACTATATTTATGAGGATTGGGACATACTCATTAGAGTCCATACATACAGTATATAATAATCATTTTACCCCAAACAACCTTAAAATGATAAAAAAATGTATTTATTAGCTATTAACACCTGTAATAGAAGGTATTTACATTGTATCGATATAAGTACATTCTAGTATGACATTAGAGAATTCCTTTTGGGACTACAACAGTTAACTGGCAATACCATCACTATCAAAAAAGTATCTTTCTTTTTTTTTTTTTAAGTATTTTTTTTATTTTTACTAAATAAGCTAAATAAATATTTTGGTCATGGAACTGGCATGACTAAAATGTATTTATATATATATATTATATATATATATATATATATATATATATATATATATATATATATATATATATATCATTAATCTTGCAAAATAAAGGTAATGCCTGGTTTGGTCAAAACTCAGTCCTTTGGTGGTGAAACTGGAGTGATCTCTCCAGGGCGCAAGCTTGGATGATGTCATATGGAGGCCGTGTGCTGCCCAGACTACATGTCCCTCCCATCTCAGTTATACCAACAAGACCCATAGGAATAAAGGACATTGAATTCCAATCAAATCCATTACATTCACTTAAGTGCTAATACCCTTGGGAAAGGTATTAATCCTCTTCTCCCTCCAACTATGGGTTAAATAGCAGGACAGACTGGGTTCTATAGCCTTGGATGGCAACTGGTCTAGGAGAACAACAACTCTGAATTCAAAACCTGTGGAGGATCATTTGGGGACCTTGTGGCACATAGTGCACAAGGTCTCTGTATTCAGCCCTTCAAAAAGTGTGGTTGGTCCTGCACAAAGCCTTCACCACTATAATCAAATTATATGTGCAGGTGTCTGGCGGTCAGTTCCTAGGAACTGAGCCCGCTTGACCCTCATACGTTGAATACAAGAGAGTTCACCATATTTGGCAATGGCTTGGGTGCAGGAAAGTTGTCAGTGATGACAGCCAACCACCTTCAGGGCTCCACTGACTTTTCTGTTTGGATTTACTTCCATTGCCTTTTCTGTGCTTGGATATGACCGTAAGGCAGCAGTAGTTTAAAATCAGGGTTTCCCTTACCCTAGATGGACTGCCTTCCTTGGGTGTCAAGCTCCATCTACCCAAAGTGGCTGGTTATGGGGTACCAGTTTTCCATCTTCACCCATTTTCTGCTCTGGCTTGGATTTGTCAGAGACTATTTGGCATGCATGCCACAGAAGCATTTTATAGACAGTGGGAGCTTGTCTCCACTAGCACCTCTAGCTATGAGAACCATTATATATATATATATATAAAAACCAACAAAACCTTGCAAAAGAGACTCAGTCCAAATTGCTACTCTGAGTTTCTTGCAGCATCATTGTCAGACAACAAAAACTGCCTGACACTCACATTGTGAGAAACTCAGGGCAGTGATTTCGACCAAGTCTCTTTTGTGTGCTATTATTGATTAGGGTTACTGCTCAGTCTTAGTTATATATATATATATATATATATATATATATAAAGCATGAAGGACATTAGATTATTGTGTAGGTAGGTGTTTGTCTTTTCTTTTCTGTTTGCTTTCCCTTTTTTTGTTGATTATTTTTGTTGAGTTTTTTTTATCTATTGGTCTCGCTTTTCATTTTATTTTGTGATTTCAAGTGTTTTTAATTGGCAAGTTTTGTGTTGGTAGAGTTACATTTGTAATACTTTAGTTTGTTTTAGTTATATAAACTTATGTTCATGCAATAGACCTTCGTTTATACATATTTAATGAAATAGAAAAAACACAAAATGTTCATTAAGATTTTTGTTTTGGATAATCAACATAAATACTAGACTGGCTATGTCTCAAGTTTTTACCTTCTGTGAAAAAGATCAACAATAGTCTAAAGTACTTGGAACATAAGAATTTCAGCAAGTTTTATTTACAAGTGTTTCACTTTATTTAACACCAGAAGAAAATCATTAAATGACTTAACAGATATTTCCTGTTCATTCTATTGAATAGACCGTGTATAAATTATAAAAGAAACAAACATCCATTTTGAAAATTGTTAAGGCACAAGTAACTAAATAAAATTTTTTTAAATATTTAAAATTGATTACTCCTATACACATAAGGAATATACAAGGTTTATGTTTTGTTCAAGTACTTTTGACAATTTCAGTCATTATCAACAACTGGGTGTTATCAAAGGAGTAGACAAGATTTTGTTGGCTACATCCTGACATTTTTTTTAGAGGCCTGGAATTTGAATCAATCGAAAATGTTGCTTGTAATGATTAACCCTTAAGCATTCAACCTGCTCAAACTTGCTCCATAAATATCAGCTCTCAACCAATTTCAAATTGAAATTAAAAGTAAAAAAAAGTAAAAGTAAAAGCTTCAAGAAAGATTTTTCATTATTAAAAATTCATTTTAAACGTTAGATATCATGTTTTTGTGAAGATAATTCCTAAGAATTAAAATTTTAAAGAAACTAAAAAAATTTTAAAGAAAATGAAAACTAAAATTCATGACAAAAAAACATTTTTTCCTCAACAAAATCTTCTCTAATTAATGTCTTAATTTTATTAAGTTTTTATTATTCGATTCACTTTACCGGATCCGATTTTGCAAGAAAGAAAAAAAAAAAAAAAAAAGAATTCGTTGTTTTAAATTCTCCAAAGACTTCTGCTTTTAATAGCCACTACAAATTATCACGTTGAATTTCTCAAGTTTTCATAAAAAATGGGATGAAACATATGTATTTTTTGAACCAAGATTTTCTAATAGGAAACATTTCTGAAATAATTTCATTTATTTGTGAATAAGTACTAAAAGTTTCATTAAAATCCGACACTTATTTGACTTTTGCAAGAATTTCCAAAATGCGTGTCATCGCAAAAAGACGCTATAATTTGGTATGCTAAAAAAAATAAAAATTCGTTGACGCAAGAAAAACAAGATCTTTTCAAAATTTCGAATAAAAAGGAGTAAAAAAATTACGTAAATATTCAAAATACTATGATGATCTTTCAACAAAGATTTTGTCGATAAAACGGTTAATTTGCACCCGCGCTCAATTCGCATTTAAAATTTCCAAAACTTTATTTTTAAGTTTGGGGACATTTTTTTCATCAATGTATGCTATTTGTAAATTTACACCGAAATGGAAATTTTCAAGAAATTTTAAATTACAAAGTGCGCGGGGCTTAAACTGCAAATTACCGTTCCTTTTGTTTAGCGAATCAGTGGTTGATTTTTTAGCGCTTCCATTTTCCCAAGTAATTTAAAATAAGCGCCCCCCAAAAAACGAATACATTTGTTGAGAAACGAATGTTGGGGTTTATTTGAATCTGGAAGTTTAAAAACAAGTTAATTTTATCAAAATATTTCTTCTGAAAATTATGTACAAGAACAAGTTCATCATCAAAGTGTTTGTAATTCTCTTTTTTATTTTTAAGATCATTGTCCAGAATAATCGCGTTTTCTTTATTGGTCGTCATCGAAACTGGAACTACAAATTTTAGACGGTTACTGCTATTTGCTTCAATAAATGGATTCATCAGTTTGGAAATCTCGATTGGAATATGTTCAACTAGTCCCGATTCCTTTCCTTATCACCCGACGGTACGTCAAACAAAAGTAGAACTAAAACCTAAATTCAACTTTTTTTTTCTTTTTTACATACAGAATGCGTATCGCAATAAAATAACTAGTGAAACAACCGATTATTTATGATCTTAATAGTGACAGGTTATTCTTGTTTTTATTCTGCCTCGTGCAGTCCTTATATTTACTGCATAAATAAAAGATGAAAATTGGTATTTTTCAACGCGCCCCTGTGGCTACTGAATGTGAAACAAGGTCAGTTTTAGTTTTACTTTTAGTGCGATTTACAGCAATACTGTTGAAAATTTGCTCGGCACTCCCCCTTTTGGAAATGTCTCAAAAAAGATAAAAATGACAATTTAAAAAAAAAAAAAAAATAAGCGCCCTGCGCTAAAAATCGTGGTCTTATTTTTTTAATCACTGATTTTAAGAAGTCAGTATCAGTGTCCTTTAAAAAAAAAATATCCGTAACTTTATTTTGCTGATGTGAAATTTTTAGTCGTAGAAAACGTAAAACGTTTAAAAAATATTTTCACTTTAAAAATAAAAAAAACTTATTCTATTAATTGCAAGATTTTATTTTTCATTTTTTTTTTTTTTTATCATTGATTACTTGACTCGAACTGGCCCTGAACTTGATTTGGGAGTTTCGCGTTGATTGTTCTGTAAGTCTGAAGGAAATTTATGTAGATTTTCGTGCAGTCAGTAGTTCAAGAGAAAACATTTAAAAAAAAAATAAATAAAGTCAATTACTTTTAAAGTAAAAAAAAAATAATGTACGTACCAAAACACGATTAGTTGCCGACTTTGGAGGAAACATGCTTCTTACTCTTACACTACCATCTTTTAAGCCAAGGGCAGTCACTCTAAACAGACTTCCGGTTTGGCCCTAGCGAATTTTAGGAAATTTCAAAAGTACAGGGTGGTCCGAAAGTTTTGTCACCCCTACATAATATAATTGTCTATTTCAGATGGTTGTCACAGACCATCTAAAGATGTGACAGTGCCAATGAAAGTGAATAAACTGAATCCGGTACATGTGCTTCGTATTACTGTAGGGGTTAGTACTAGTTCTTCTGTAGTTCTGACTTTGGCTTGACAAGACTTTCGGACCACCCTAATCATAACAATGGCCTTTTAAAAATTACTGGAAAAATAATTGTATTTTGGCAAAACTTAAATAGAAAAGTCCAACTGCAAAAATTTTGGTGGGAAATAATTTTGCAGATTAGTGTTCAATAAACCACAACATTTGTCAAAATTGAAAAATTTTGTTTTCTTATTTACGATTTTAGAACGGGTGTTACAGTGTAACCCGGATATAAGAGAATTGTCGGGACCGGAGAAGAAGTCTCTTATACCCGGGTTTCTCTTATATCCGGGTTTGGTCTATTTTGTTTAGGTAAGTATGGGCACTAATTTGGGACCAAAGAAAATCTCTCTTATATCCGGGTTTCTCTTACATCCGGGTTGTCCATAACATTGATAGTGTAAAATTGGTCACTGACTTTTTAGTTTTTACAGAGTTATTACTAGTATTTATTTAGCTACTCTGTGTACTAAAACAGATTTTTCTTTTCTCTTTTTTGTTACAAAAATATTTCTTTTAAATAATGAACTAACATTTTTACATTTTAAATAAATTAATAAAAGTATATATCACAATATCCGTTTATTCTTAATTTAAGAAGAGTAAGAAGATGAATAGTTATCCTGCAATGTTTGTGCATGTGCTTCCAAAAAAAGCATGAATTTGAAAGGTATTTTGAAAATTTTGAGGTGAAGGGAGAAAAAAAATTCTCACTGTGTTACTGGCTCTAAGAATCTGCTGATATTTTTTTTTTTTTATGGGCTGGTATTTGAACAGTTCAAATGTCAACTGTCCCCTTTGAAAAGGAAGGGGACAAGACTTCTATTGGATGGTAGTAGGCAGTTGTAAGGTACAAAGAGGAGGCTGGTTTTTCTCTCTGCTGTTGAAATGGTAGGCAGTGATTCCCAAAGAAAAGGATGCAAGGGATAGAAAATAACTAAAGGCAAGTTTTCCTGTCAGTAAAGAGTAAGTTCTTTAGAGAAAATTTAAGAAGTCCTCTCTAAGAAATCCCAGAACTTGATGTAAGAAAGTTTACTGTAAAGAAAGAACTGAGAATTCCCTAAGTGTTGTCTTGAGCTAAAGACATTTTACGATCATGGTGGCAGTGGTGAAGAAGAAATTATTTTGTGAATTGTAATTTTTTTAAAGTTTTATTTTTTCTGGTAATTTTTAATATTTTGTGATCCAGAGAATAGGTTTCCGATTTTCAGCAAACGGTTCAAATTTTTGCAAGCACCCTTGTTTAGTTAGTAATAAAGTTTTTTTTCTTTCTTGTAGTGATTTTCTAAGCACTGCTTAGATGTGGCACAAGGCCGAAAGTATGGAGCACCCAGTGAGGATCGAACTCACTACTCAGTCCTAACTGTTCTAGTGAGACAAGCTTGCTAACCATTACACCGCCTTTAGGTGCTCTTTTTTTCTTATATAACTGAATTGGATTTGCATTCTTTTTTTTTCTTTTTTTTTTTTAGCTATTACTTCAGGCAGTAGTGAAAATACTATTGCAGCAGGTTTTATTTTCTTTCAGAAAATAAAATTTCTTGTGTATCATAATTTATGCTAACATTTAAAAGAATGAGAGGTAAAACGTCAGAATGGTGATGAGGTGCTAAAAGTAGGAGTTTTAAATCTAAGGAATTTTTTTGCTTTTCTTTTCTGGTTTCTTTTAGCTTCTGCTTCTTTCACTTCTGTTGTAAGAAACAGCCTAGTTCATCCACTGGTAACTGCCAAAATTTTTCTTATTTAGGTAATTTGTCACAAACATCCCTCAAACTATAAGAGTTTGCGACCACAAAAATTTTTTCTGATTTTTTTCAACCAACTTGACTCCTTATGTAAGCCCCATTAGGCTCCAGACTTAAGTCCCAAATTCTAATTTACATAGAAGAAAATCACCTTGCCCACAGGCTGAAAAACCTGAAAGTGTATCTTTTATAATAAAATTTGAAATACAAGTTTTTCATATTAAAAAAACGTCTACCTTAATTTTGGGCAGCTTTTATTCGAAACATCTCATTTCTAGAAAATTTAAAAAACAAATTGTACCCATCAAATTTATTAGTATTTTCCTAACCATCTGGCTTCCTTTTAATTAGTTAATTTACTTGTATTATTTTTTATTTTAAATTCATCTTTTAATTATTTTATAGGTTTTTCATTTTTTTATATATAAATATTCTTGACTCAAGAGAAAATGCAATAATAAAAAAGGTGTATTGTATTATTTTTATTTTATAATATTCACCTTTTAATTGTTTTACATGAAAAGATATAAAAACAAATCTAAGTTAAATTCATTTCAACATTAGGGTGTTTGAAAAGGAATTATAGCTTAAACAAATGTAAACTAAATTTATTTAAATATTATTTATCAAAAATTGAACCACCTTCATTTTCAACAGCCATGGCCAACAAGCAAGCAATTTTTTTATTTCATTTTTAAAGAATTCTCAAGTTTTCCCTGAAAAAAATACTTGAAAGATGTTTTTTCAACTTATTTCTTAATGTTCTGTTACTTATGAAATGTTCTAGAGATCAAAGCAAATAAAAATCTATAGATGCTAAATCTAGTGAGAAGAGATGTGAAATAATCTCCCATCTTAATTATCTTATTTTTTTCATAGGGTTATTTTGCACAGTATAACTTTGCATTGTTATGCTGGAGAATAACATTTTTTGTTTACCAAGCAGGATATTTTTGACATAATGCTTTGTATGCTCAATCAAGTTGCTGGCAATAAATATCAACAGTGAGGGTGCTTCCATGTTTCAGTAGCTCATAATGAGCAAACACGTTTCATATTCCACAAAATACAAAGCAAAACTCCTGATTTTGGTGTTGGCATTGGTTTCTAATTTTGTGATAACCACACTCCGTTTCATTTTCTGCCGACATGCAAAACCAATTTTTTGTTCCTTGCAACAATGTGATGCAAAAATTAAAAGTTGACACTCCTTGTGAAAGACTTACAATTGGTGGAATGTTTTTTCAGTTTTCAAGTGAAAGCTCCTGAGGAACTCTAATTTACCCTTTGTGAGGTTTCCCAATTAAACTCTGAAATACACTATAAACAATAATCTGCCAAGTAGAATAGATGATTGACTATGATAGAATAGATGATAGATTGATTCTAGACACAGTTTTCTACCATTCAACCATTTTTCTGTTTTAGTTGTTTGACTCATATTTCATAGTAGTGACCTATGTAAATACAAGTTGAGTATCCTTTATCCAAGTGCTGACATGACTTACCACAAATGGAAAATTTCAGAAAACACTGGGAAGGTTCCTAGGTGATATGCAACTGTTGTAAGTAACCTCATCTGCATTTGGTGTGGGTTCACAAGCCCAGCTACATAGTCTATGTTGGTGCTAGTTTATTGTTAGCAATTGTCACAGCAACATCTTTATTCATGGATTACTTACCAGTTGTTTCCTGCTTGTTAAAGATATTGTTCAAAATTTATATATTTTTTGTAAATAGTGATCATTTTTTTTTTTTTTGTACAAAACATTATTTTTACATGAAATCTTAATTTTACAACTTAAAAATCCAGGTGAGCATTACATGACTAACGTCATTACCTGTATCTGTATGTACACAAAATTTATTAAATTTTATATAAAACTACTTTCAGGGTATATGTTATTTATACAGGGTGTCCATAAATTCGTGTGCACTTTAAAAAATTTATAACTTTATTTGTATTTGCGATAGAAATAATCTGTAAAAAATGTTATAAAGTTTAATGTACCTATTTTTAAGTATAGCTAAAATAACTAATGTGATTTCAGGTATTACTACTGTAAATCAGTTGGCAAATGTTTTCCATGAACTGCAAAATCGTATTACCCTTTGTATTGCTAATGATAGAGGACATGTGGAAACTTAAATAAAATTTCAATAAAACCTTAAAAAATATTACTTCTTTTTAATCCTTTTAATAAATTATTTCTATCGCAAATGCAAATAAAGTTATAAATTTTTTTAAGTGCATACGAAATTTATGGACACCCTGTATATATATATAAAAAAAAAAACTACATTCAGGGTATATGTATAAGCTGGGTCATGAAATATAAAGGGACATCATGTTCATGCCTGGGTTCCATTCCCAAGTTACCCTATTTTATAGATGTTATATACAAATTAAATAACCTGTATTCCAAAATCAAAAGAAATCTGAAAACCAAAGCATGAATTTCAGATAAAGGATTCTCAACCTGTACTTTCTAAACATCATAATATTTTTATAAATATAAATCTTAAATATTCATATGTTTATATGTATGTCAAACCATTGGAAGTAACTAGCAAGTGTCAAGCTGTATCTAATGCAAGGAAAAATTACCAGCACTACTTAAAAAGGCAAAATATCCCAGTAATCAACAGATATCCCATATCAGCCATCAATGAACACCTGACAATGACCAGAGACTACTTGGTCGAAACACTGTATCTATCATAACATCTATATCAACCAATAGTTCCAAATGATATAAGCATACTGACCATTACTTATCTCAGAAATGAAAAAACTAAATTATAAAAAGCAATACAAACCCGCCATTATAACCAAATGTCAAAAAACATCTGACATCAAATATAAAAGGCTCCAGAAACGCACCACTAATGTCCTTTGAGGTGGTGGCTTAGTGGATATAGGAGTTGGTTATTTTCTTTCACTCTATAGCCTGTCAGAGGATAATGGTCTTGTTATGTTTGCCT